TGTTATAACGTATCACTACTTCGTCGCTTTTTATGGCTGAATAGTATTCCATTGTATGGATGGACCAGAGTTTGCTTTTTCCTTCACTCATTGACGAACACAAGTTGATTCCACCGTTTGCCTCTTGAGAATACTGCTGCCATTAGCAGTGGTGTACAAATTTTTATTTGCACACTTGTTTTTAATACTTCTAGGTGTATACACGGAGGGCTTGTTTTATAGTCACAGTTTTCTTAACCAGCCCTCCATCACCTGACCTCTGCCTGTCTGCCTCCCAACTCAAGGCACCTGCTGCACCCTCCCCCTGTGCTTTTCCTGTTACTTTGGAAGGTGATCCCTCTCCTCAGGGAGCATAAGGTGGACATGCAGGAAAGAGAGAAAAAGCAAGTTCAGAACTGGAGAGCCCCAGGAAGGAGCACAAAGAGCTCCAGGCCACCGGAGTGGGGGCTTCCTGCAGGAGAGGGAGGCCCTGGCTATGGCCATGCCTGGGACCAATGGTTCCCAGTGGCCCAAAGGGTGTCCCCAGGGGAAAAGTGGATGAAAAGGATTCTTTGGGTCCCAAGGCCACCCCTGACTCACTACCCATCCCCCCTCCCTCCCCATCTTTCCACCTCATTCCCCACCTCCTACCCCCAACCTTCCCACCTTCAACCTACTCCCCACTCCCTACCCCTATGGACCCCCCATCCCCCACCTGGCCTTTGATTCCAAGGAGGGAGTCCATCAGGCTGTCTCCAGCCTGATACAGGGGCCACTCAGGCCCTCAGGGTCTGCTCAAGGTCTCCAGTGCCTATGTGTGCAACTCAGGCCTTTGATTCCAGGCAAGGGAGCACTTGCCAATTTAAGAGGAAACTTCTAGAAAGAGACAGTCCCACAAAAATTAGCCACAGGACTCATGGTGTGAGCAAATCCCCAGGGCCCCACTACACAGCTCCCGGGGCACAGAGGAATCCAGAGTCCCAATGGCTTCCGTGGCCACCCAGAGGAAAGCATGGAGGTCTGCACCTTGTCCCTGGCTGTCCTGGAGGCGGTGCAGAGGAACCTGTTCAGTCACCACACTCCAGCAGCTGCTTGATGGGAACAAGGGACCCCGGTGGGCTGGTGAGTTGGTGGGGGGGGCGCGGCTCAGGCCTAGGAAGCCAGGAAAGAGGTGGGGAGCTCCCAAGAGATTCAGCTCATTGGAAGGCGAAGCTGGCTTTCCCTCCACACATCACTCAAGCCCTCTCACTGTGGCCTGGCACCCTCCCGGGAACAGGACAGTCTAAATCTGTGAAGGGTCTCTGGATCTGGCTGGAGGGACAGGTCCCAGATGTGTCCATCCTGGGCCTCACAGGGACCAGCCATGGGGACCAGGAGGATCAGGTCTTTCCCCAAAGCACCCCTTATCCTGGGACAAAGGGGGTTCACTGGTGCTGCCCGAGGGTTCCCCCAAGATCCAGACTTCATTCCAGAGCCCATCTCCCTTCCCACACCTGGCCCTGCCCTGCAGCCACTCTTAGGAGCCTGAAAGGGGAGTGAGCAGGGTCAGTCTGCCAGGCCCTTCCAGCCCTGCCTGCTCCGACCACAGGAAGGCTGGCCCAGCCCTGGGAAGAGGGGCCGCCGCTGAGGACAGGATTCAGCAGGTCGGTGGCCACAGCTGTGTTCTGAGAATCCCCAGGCTGGTGGGGCCTCCCCCAGGGGAGGGAAGGAGCCAGGCTCCGCGGATGGCAGGAGGAGGACGATCAAGCTACCGGGACTTTCTGGGGCTCCTCCCCAATCTAGAATGAAGATGCACAATAGCAAAGTATCTTGGAGCCAGTGGGAAGGGTGGATCTGGGTCCGATGCCTCCCCTGTCTCCAGCCTGATACAGGGGCCACTCAGGCCCTCAGGGTCTGCTCAAGGTCTCCAGTGCCTATGTGTGCAACGCTCGGAGTAGAGGACACTGTCCTCACCCTGCTGGACCCCAACCCATACCAACCATGGCTAGAAGGTCTGGAGCTGGGAAAGGACCCCCAAGTTAGAAGCAGCCACCTCCCCAGATGTCTGCAAGCCCCTTCCCAGACACCCAGGGCTGTGAAGAGTCCCCAGCCCCACCCACCCCATCCCAGTCTGTCTGCCCCTTCTCCACTGGGAGGAATAGGAAGAGGGTAATTGGATCAGCATTGCTCACTCCATCTGGAACATTCCAAAATGGAAAACCGACTGAACAGCTGGGGAAGCAATTTAGGGATTTTAATTAAAGGCAGTGACTCTCCCATGGAGCCCCACCTCCAGGCACAGCCAAGAGGACCCCCACATCTGCCCTCAGTGTGTTCTGAGACCCAGCTGGGCACCTGGCGCTGGGCATTGGCTCTTAGGCCCAGTTTCCCCTGGGAGCGGGGGTGAACAGAACAAGCCAGTTCACTCTTTCTCCTCGCTGGTTCCAGAGTCTGCCTTCTGAGTTGAGCATGGCCCTCAAACCAGACAAACTAGTGCCCCCCGACCCCACAGCTCTACATCCAAGAAACTTCAGGAAGGGAGAAGTGGGTCATGGTGGCAGGCTCGGGAAAGGAGCTCTAAGTCCCTCTAGGGAGGAAATGAGCCAGAGGGAGAGTATAGCTTCCGGTTCTAAGGCTGCCTCCCTCTCAATCTTCACCTTCTGCAGGGAAAGGCATTCCCGGCAGAGGGAACTGCATATGCAAAGGCTATGAAGTAAAATAGACCATGGCAGGTGGAAGGAGCTGATGGGGCAGAAGCTTAGAAGCGAGAGGAGCACACAGGCTAGGGGGCGGGGTGGGGGGGCATGCCTCAGAGGGCCTGAACAGCTGCAGTCAGATATCTGGTCTTCATTCTGGAAGCAAAGGGGGTGGGGGAGAAGGTTGGAGTGTTTTGTTTTGTTTTGTTTTCAAAGAATGAATAAATTGCCTTCTTCATTTTTTAAAAAATAAATTTATTTATTTATTTTGGCTGCATTGGGTCTTCGTTGCTGCGTGTGGGCTTTCTCTAGTTGCGGCAAGCAGGGGCTACTCTTTGCTGCTGTGCGAGAGCTTCTCGTTGCAGTGGCTTCTCTTTGTTGCAGAGCACGGGCTCTAGGCGTGCGGGCTTCAGTAGTTGTGGTTTGCGGGCTCTACGGCACAGGCTCAGTAGTTGTGGCGCACGGGCTTAGTTGCTCCGCGGCATGTGGAATCTTCCCAGCCCAGGGCTCTAACCCGTGTCCCCTGCACTGGCAGGCGGATTCCTAACCACTGTGCCACCAGGGAAGCCCCATTGGAGTGTTTTAAAATAATGGGGACTGGTTTACTCTGAAGACAATCCTGTGGCTGCCGTGTGTGCAGAGAGCTCATCGCCAGAGAACAAAAGAGGTGACCTGAAGCCATCCGCTCATGAGATGGTGAAAGTTTGGACACGGTTATGTCCGGGAAGAAGAAGAAACACGCAGGGACCAAGCTGAGAACAAGGCCAGAGATCAGGGGCTGTCCTGCCTCCCCTCCTGTCCCTGCCATCCAGGACAGGCTGCCATTCCATCCCTAAGTGTGTCCCCGGTCCAGGGAGTGGGGACAGAGCTGCCAAGGCCAGTGCTCGCCACCCAGCGGGATGCCGAAGCGGAGCACGACCCCTCCTCACCATCGTTACTGCAGACTGTGCCAGCCTTCCCCCACACCCACATCAGAGGTCCGCAGCAGGGAGGAGGCTGTGGGTACGTCTCCTCGACATCTGCCCACATCTGCCACCACATTCCCAGCAGCCCTGCCCCTGGCCTGGCCCATCTGATACAGACCTAAGGCCTGGGGAGCAAGGGTCACGGCCAGGTCCTGCAAGGGCCCAGGGCATGCCAGGCCTGGGCCTAAGGGGCCCTGGAGGTCATTGTCAGGGCATCTGGTGGGCATCTGGCAGACAGCACTGTGGCCAGGAGCAGGTGACAGTCATTACTGAGAGGCCCTGCATTTCTGGGGGGAGATGGACGGACAGGGCGCCCCAGCCTGCCTGAGTCTGGCCTAACTTGGTTAAGAGCTGAGCTGGCAGCTGGGCTGCAGCTGGGTGTTCATTCTTGCCCATTCCCAGGGGAGGAAGCTGAATAAACACCACAAAAGTGGGGCATGGAGGGCCTGGGGGAGTGGGCGTGCCCTGCAGTCTGGTGGGTGGGGCCTGTGGTGGGCAGTGCCTGGGTAGGTGACGCATGGTTGTGCAGGGAGCTCCTTGGAGGCTGTTAGAAGAAACATGCTGGGACTTCCCTAGTGGGGCAGTGGTTAAGAATCCACCTGCCAATGCAGGGGACACGGGTTCGATCCCTGGGCCAGGAAGATCCCACATGCTGCGGAGCAACTAAGCCCGTGCGCCACAACTACTGAGCCTGTGCTCTAGAGCCCATGAGCCACAACTACTGACCCCGCGTGCCTAGAGCCTGTGCTCCACAACAAGAGAAGCCACCACAATGAGAAGGCCACGCACCGCAACGAAGAGTAGCCCCCGCTTGACGCAATTTGAGAAAGCCCGCACGCAACAACGAAGACCCAACTCAGCCAAATAATTAACTAATTAATTTTTTTAAAAAAAGGAAACACCCAGCACACGGGAGTCACCTCATACCCGCTGTCCAGAGATTCCACCAGGTTTCCAGGAGGGAGTGTTCAGTGGGCACAGGGACACAGAATTAGCTGAGGTCATGGGTGCAGCCTAAAGAACCAGACAGACCCAGCTTTAATCCTGCCCCACCACTCAAGCAACCTGGGTCCTCAGTTTCCCCATTCGGAATATGGGACAACCCAGCTTGGCATCCCAGGGCTGAGAAGAGAGCCTGAGGGTGGTCCCCAGAGTCACCAGGGCTGAGCTGTATGTCACCGAGCAGGCCCCAAACCTCTCTGAGCCTAAGTTACTCACTTGTGACAGGTGGCCAAGTTCACTGCCCACCTCGAGGGATAGACAAGGATCGGATTTTTAACCATTCCCAGCATGAACAGTGCCCAGTAACGTTAGCTGGCAGGATTATCATCCCCGCAGGAGGTGGCACCTCCAACCCCACCCTGCAACCCTCAAGGGCACATAGAAGAACACAGATCCAAACTTTATTTTGTAAATATTTCTCTCTGCCCAGCCCTGTGTACAGGGCCCACTCCGGCTGGGTGACAGGCATAAATTAAGGTCACTGAGAGTCCCCAGGCAGGGCGTGGGTTCCCCAGCCCCATTAGTCCCAGCCGAAGTCCTGGCCGGTCATTTGGTAGAACTTGCGGTTAAAGGGCCGGTAGAAGGCCCGCAGGCGCTGGACCATGGCCTCAGGCACACGTGGGTGGGGCCGGCCCTTGGACTTGCCCAGGCAGCGGGGACGGCCGCTGCCCTGGGCCTTCTTGAGGCAGGGGAAGCCCTTGGTGGCGTTGAAGTAGAAGTGCTTGTCTGTGACCACCCGCTTGAGACCCAAGAAGTCCTGCACGTGGCCCAGCTCCCTAGCTGGGTCGCTGACCAGGCGCTCGCCGCTAACAAAGAGGAAGCGGGACAGCGGGAAGTAACGCAGCCAGTTGTCCAGGTGCTGGGCGTACAGGCCGATGCGCACGGCACTCCAGGCCGTGTCCACAGGGCCCAGGCCTCGGCGGAAGGCCAGGGTGCCAAAGCTGGGCAGGCCCGGTGTCTTGGAGAGCATCTGCGCATAGTCAGAGATGGCCCGGGTCACGGGGTTCCGCACGACCACGATCAGCTTCGTGGCCGGGGACATGCCGTGGATGCGGCGTGGGGCCTCCCGGGTCACGAAATAGCTGGGGGTCTTCTCCATGGTGATCTGCCCATCCAGGGTGCGGGGCATCAGGCTCCTGTGGGAAGGTGGGTGGAGAGGGGGGCATGAGCAGGTGCTGGCCCTCCTCCAGTCCTCCCATGCTAGACCGGCCCCCAGAGGCCCGAGACTAACCTCCCCTTCCTCCAGGGAAGCCCCATACCTACAAGACAGGCGAGCCTCCCCATCTCCCCTTCCCCACCAGGCCCACCCATCCTAAGTGTCTGGGTGGGCAGCCTGGGGTGTGGGCCGTGAGGGCGCCCAGCCTCAGCACAGGCTCACAGTAGGGGCCCATCCTCCAAGGCTATCCACACCCCTCCCAGAGCTTGACTGCACCCCAACCTTGACACTGCTGTGCCTCTCACCCCAGACCCAGCACTCCCCAGACTTGCCACCCACAAGGCTCCACCCACCATCCCCACCCCCACAGGCCCCTGCACTGTAATTACCCCAGTCACACTTTCATTAAGTGGCTGATGGTGTCCCTTGAATTAGGCCATTAGTTACTGACAAGTGTCCCCAAAAATGGGCAGCTGCCCCTCCTATCACTCCCTCCCCTGCATGGCGTCTCCCGCCTTTGGTGGCAGCCCTGCTAATTCTCCCCGACCTGGGCCCCCCAGAATGCTGAAAGCCACAGCGCAGCCCAGGACACTGGAGAGGTCATTGAAGCAGCCTGAGGATCTGTCTCAAGACCCCAGCCGCCTGGGTTGCCCAGACCCGGCTTGGAACCCATGGTGCAAGGCTGCAGCTGCAGCATTTCCGAGCAATCCTCTCATTCTGACCAGGGGTGGGGGTTGGGGGGTGGAGGAACCTTGGAACCATCCCAAGGTTCCGGGGGAGTCAGCTGGTGACAGACCCCTGACAACCCCAAACCTGGGGAAGCCCATCCTAGCACCCCACCCAGGCAGTCCAGGGACCCTGGGTAGCATCCTGAGGCCACCCTGCCAGCCAGGTAGAACAGGGTGGGGAGGGGCAGGGTGCAGCAGCAGGGCCAGCTGAGCAAACAGCTCCGAGGGAGGACTGGGAACTAGGTCAACAGAGGCAGAGGCTATCAGGCTCTGTGCTAGGGACGGGGTGGGGGGTGTCTCTGTCCCCCATCTCTGAAGGAGCTGCCCCCAATCCCACTGGCAGCCCTCAGGACTGGCCCCAGCCAGGAGGGTGACACACAGGACAAAATTCAGGTCTCATCCAGCCTAGTGACCCCCAGACACGAGCTTCTGAGAGACAGTCTCCTCTTCCTGCTCAGGCCAGGTGGACACCCAGGCGTACAGGCACACGAGTTGGCGTGCTCAGCTTGGAGGGTGCTGATGTCGGGACTGGAGAACGTGCACACATGAGTCCCAGGCATGCCACGAGCTCCCCTGACACCACCCTCTTGGCTCGGGGGAGTGGGGTGGGTTGCAGGGTCTGCCGGCTGTGGGAGCTGCCCCCCCCTCAAACTAAGGCCCTGGGCAGAGCTGGTCTACAGAAGTCATGGGAGACAATTCTGCTCCCCCCATGTCCCAGGAGTGATCTGGGACTCCTTCCACCCCACTCACTGCCCCACTTGAGGCTCAGAGATGGAGCAGGAAGTGTTGGGATGGATGCCGGCTGCAGCTGCTGGGAGGCGGTGTTGGCTTGGCTTCTGCTCCCAGGAATCCAGGTGGGAATTGCACCCAGCCCTCCCTGTGAATAAGTTCAAAGAGAACTTGGGTGGGAACAAGGCCAAGGGCTGAGGTTCAGGACTGCAGCCTGGGGTAGCCAGCTCAGGGAACCCCCCTTCCCACAAGAGGGAGGACAAAAGAAGGCGGATCTCCCCTCACTGGACCTCGATGCTGAGACCCACAGACATAAGCCAGTGCCGACAGAGGTCATCAGAAATCACCGCCCTCCGTTTATCACCCTCCTGAGGGAGGGAACCAGCCCTGACTGCTCTGGGACCCTCCTCACCGACCTCTGACACCCCCTTCCCATCCCTTTCCTCCCCCAGGTGCCCAGTGACCCCAGGAGCACCCTCTTTCCTTCTCCAGGCTGGGCTCACCTGGTTCTGAGTATCCCCACCCCTTCCGGCCTGCCTGGGGGGAGGGGCTGCAAGGAAGCGGACAAAAATTAGAGGGACCTTAGCACCCACTGCTGTTTTCTCTCCAAGGAAGTCAGAGGAGAGGAAGTCAGGGAGGTGCCCCCAGCCCCACCGTGGAAGGGGGATGGGAAGGGGGATAGGGGAGGCTGACTTTCCAGGCCCACTCTTGCCACAAACCAGCTTTGAGATCTGAGATCTTTGGGATCAATTACTCAACCTCCCCAGGCCTCAGAAGCCTGTCCCCAGCCAGCCAGGCACAGAGGAGCGGGGGATGGGGGCTTCTTGGGGGTGGGAGAGACTGGGGAGACGATGAGAGGAACTTGACTCTGACCCCCACACGGCAAACATCTGACAAGTTGCTCTGTGGACACTCCCTCCCTGCTCATCTGGTCTGCATTTCCCTGCGGCTTCCATCCAGCCCCAGGCAACTCTCCCTCCTCTGTCTCAGCCCCACCCCCACCCCTCTATCCTGCACCTCGCCTGGGCCTCATCCAGCAGGGCCTGGGACTCAGCAGAAACCAGCTATGGTTCCTGTCTGGAACAACACGGTACCAGGAGCCAAGGGGGTGGCCCTACCTGTATCCCTCCTGGTCTCTGTGCTTTTCCAAAATACTAAGGTCAAAGTACAGCCCCCACCTGCCCCCAGACAGGGCGCCCCCTTCTGAACTGAGACTTGGGGGTGTTTGTCTGTGTGACCCCAGCACCTGCCAAACAGAAGGTGCTCAATGAGTCAGTGACTAGATGAACAAATGCTGTGTGAGCTTGGGGACACTTGGGGGTCACGGTCCCCAAGAAGGAGGATCCTCAAGAGCCTGAGGGATGAGCTGAGGCCCAGGGAGGGGGACTGGTTTGGCCAAGGTCAACTTTGAGCAGCCCAGCACCCCTGCCACGGCCAAGGGAAGGGCCAGAGTCACTGCCTGGTCACAGCCCAGTGGGAACAGGTGTCCCAGAAAGTCAACTGGGGGCACTGGCCACTGCTCCTCTACTCACCGCCCCACACCTCCACCACCAAGAACAGGCTCTGGAGGCTGGGCCCAGGGTCCTGAGAGCAGACAAGGCCACCAGACCCTCCCTGCCCGGGGGCTGGGCATCCTCTTTGCAGCTGGGGAAACAGGCAGGGGTGGGCATTTTCAGAGGTTCACTGCACACTCACAGCTGGTTGGAAGAACAGTCAGGTTCAGAGGCACAGGTGCCTGTGAGCAACACCATGCCCACGTGCACATACATCAGCACACAGCCTCGTCCCTTGGAAGGCACGTGGACACACGCACTCCAGAAGCTCAGCCCTGCACCAGCCAGTGAAGGGTCAGCACTAGCCAGTCCCGAGGGACAGCTCCAGATTAAAGGGGCAGAAGCCACGGACCTGACCCTCTGCCTCCTCTGCAGCACCCCTCCCCGCAGTGTGGTGGCTGGGCTGAGGAAGGAGAAAGTCTCCTCTACCAGACTTAAACAGGCTGCTGAATCATCCCACTCCCATCTCCGGCCTCAGGGACACCAATGTCCCAAGAGCCCCTCCCCTGTGCTGAGGATCTGACCCCGAATCTGGGTCCAGCTGGCTTCCTCTCAGGCCCCTCAGGCTCCCCAGACCAGTCCCCCAGAGCTGAAGCATGTGCCCAGAGAGGGCCTGGATAGGCTCTCAGGATCCCTGGCTCTTTGGGAGCCTTTTTAGGTCTAAACCCAATTCTAGACTCTCCTGCAGCCCCTCATTAGCCCAGCTTATGGGGTCAGTAGTGAGCTCTGAAATTTGCACTATGGTTAACAGTGTGTCCTTCCCCTTCTCCATCCTCCTCCTTTCCCCCTCCTCTTCTTCCTCTGCACAGAAGTGAGGAATTAGGGATGCTTTCAGATGCTGAAGCACTGTCAGAGTGCGGTAGTGGTTTCTCCCTGAGTGTTGAGAATGCAGGGATTCAGACAGCTGGGTCCAGGGATGGACTCACCTCCCCCCTCACCACACAACTTCCCTAGACCTCTGACAGCAGCAACCCTTCAGAGTTCATGAGCCAGAACCCCCTGTTCTCATTGGGAACCCTCCAAGCCCATAAGTAATTCTGATGCAAAAAAGCAAAGATAACAAGGGTGGGGGCAGGGTGGAATCTGGGTACAGAAAAACTGGTAAACCTGTAGGTAAAAAGTCTCAGTCCTGCCACACCCCACTCACCACTAATTTACCAGGTGACCTTAGGCAGGGTCTTCTCTGGCCCTTAGGGGCTTGGCCCAAGCTTGGGGATGAGGCTGGTGCTGTGGGGAGTGGGGTGACTCACCCTCCATCTGTAAGCCCTCATTTCCCCGAAGGAAGGGATAGAGCGCTGAGGCAGGCTTGTGCCCAACTGACAGAGGCAGAGGGCTGGGCCTCACACTCAACCTTCGGTGCTAACCTCGGCAGGGAGGGGCTGGTGTTTGATCAGCCACCAGGACAGGTTACTTCAGCTGCGGCTGGGTGCTCCCCCACATTCCACCACACCCCCCAAGGCCATACTGGGTGAGAGTCAGGGCAGCTACAGAGCCTCATGACATGAGGCTGGGATCCCAATTCCCATCCCTGGGCATTGACTCAAAGGCACCCTCCTCCTTTCTAAAGACCAGACTTTCTCCAGACACCCAGGACTATGGAGAAGGATTCCTCTCTCCAGGATCAGGGGTCTTAGGGGTGGGGAATGGGTTGACAGATACTTTCTAGGAGGCTGCAGGGAACCCGGAGACCCTTTCTTAAGGTAACTGACCAGAGTTCAGACATGTTCCCCTCAGTGATGCAGGGGAGAGGGCCAACTGAGTATGAAGCATTTCTAAAGCACCTCAAACCCCACAGGCTCCAAACTACTTCTCGCTGGAATCGCACTCTAGCCCCGAACCAGGGCTTTCCCTGGAGTTTTCAAAGTTTCTGGGAGTCCATGGCCAGTGACCGACCCTCTTTTCCATAAAACCTGCTGCAGGAGGGCCGCGTCCTCCCCGTCAAGCCTCAGCCCCCACGCAGGCTGGTCTCAGCCCCTGAAGACGCCTGGAGTCCTCGCCCCGCGGGGTCCCCAGTGAGACCCCTGGGGCACACCACGCGGTTTCCCGGAAGGCACCCGCCAGGAAGCCGATGGGGCGGACGGGATGAGCGCTCACCGGTACCAGGCGAGGCCGCGCTCGTAGCACCTGTCGAAGAAGTGGGGCTCCGAGCCGAGCGCGCGGACGTCGGGGTGCAGCCGCAGAAACTCCAGCAGGGCGCGCGTGCCGCCCTTCTTCACGCCCACGATAAGCGCCTGCGGAAAGCGCCGGCGGCCCGAGCCACTGGCCACCGGCAGGCCGGACGTTCCGGGGCTGCGGGCTGCGCGGGGCGGCTCGGCGGGCGCGGGGGCTGGCGCGGGGATGCGGCCGGCCGGCGGGCAGCGTCCGGGGAGGGCGCAAAGGCAGTAGGCTCCGAGCACCAGAGCGGCGAACAGCAGAGGCGCACGGGGCGCCCGAAGCGTGGCCCCAGGCCCGCCCCCGGCTCCCTGGCTGCCTCCTGCCCCGCCGCCCAGGCCGCCGCTACCTGCCATGGGGCCACACCGCTCCCAGGCCTGGGAGCGGGGGCTGCAGGAGGGCGCACATCCCCGCCCGCGCCGCGCTCAGTCCGCTTGCGCCCGGCTTCTGCTCTGCGCCCCACTGCCCAGTCTTCTGGGAGCCGGGAGGGACCAGTGCTAGGGCGGGATGCCCCGCCCAGCCCAGAGGCCCCGCCCCGCTTGAACCACTGCTCCACCCGGGACTCGCCGGCACCTACGGGCGCCGCGGCGCGACTCCGAGCCTCAGTGACTAGCCGGACGCGCCCGCTCGGAGACCCCAGGCCCCAGCCCGCTCGGGATGCGGCGGCGGCAGATTGGGACGCAGGACGGTGACAGGACTGAGCTGCTGGCCAAAGGACCCGCTCTTAGAGGGCCGATCGCTGCCCCTCCCGGACGAGGGCAACGCGGCAGGTGCGCGGGAGGAACAAGCGGGCCAAGAAGTCGCGTGCACCTGGCCCTAGTGAGCAGAGGGGTTCCGGGAAGGTGGAGGAAAGTCTGCGGCGGGAATGGGGCGCATCTTGCTGATCGTTGGCTTGCCATTGCCATGCGTCAGGGTCACGGGCAGGGCGGTTGGAGAGGACTAGCCAAGTTGATTACCATTTTAAAGTCTGGGAGACAGGCTCAGGGAGGACAGGCGTCTTTCCCAAGGGCCCAGTGAAATTCAGACCTCAGTCTTCTGACCCTTTTTACCATGTCACACGGTCTGTCTGTGCAGCCTAGTCCACCTGGTGTTGTCCTGGGATGTCAGTGACCCATCTCTGGCACTGGCAAAGCGGCTCCTATTGGAGATGTGAAGGATTCGGGAGACCTGTGCTGGGGAAACTAGAAGGAGGAGCCGGGGTCCTGTCCTAGGAGCTTCCTCTGAGGGGCAGGGAGACTCAGGGGCCACTCCCAGTAATGAGACCTGCTGGGCGCTGGACACTCTGCGGGAGTTTTACGCACCCCCAGGCTCACTGAACCCCCAGCCCAGCACAAAGAAGGCAGAGGAGAGCTGGCTGGGAGAAGGTGAGCACAGCCCCAGGTAGAGACAGAATGGAACCCATGTCCTGCCTTTGCCTCTACCCCAGACTTCCTGGCCTCAGGGTTGGTGCAGGTGGGCATGGGCTCCCCGAAGAGGCCAGCCTTCCTCCAGCCAATGCCCAGAGACTACTGCCCTGGCTTCTGCTGGTTAATGGGCTGTTCCTGAGCCTAATGGTATCTGGATCTAAGGGCAACCTGGAGCACTTCCCCAGGGCAGGGGCCTCCATGACCCACCCAGAGGTAGCCTTGGCCAGAAGAGGGCTCTGCAGAGCCAGTGGGGTGAAGACCACTGACCAGGCCCTCAGCCCAGTTCCCAGATGCCATGCCTGCATCTGCTTGTCAGGGCATGACTCAGCCAGGAGCCCTGTCTGTGGGGTGTTGGCACAGCGCTGTCTGGGGTACATGCCGGCACATGCAAGGTCACAGGAAGTTCTTCTTCTGGTCTAGCTTAAAACGGGATTTGTTCCAGACAGTCTGGTTCTCCTTAGAGCCACCCACTCCACCTGCAGCACCCACCCAGAGCCTCAGCAGCCACCACTCAGGGCTCCAAATTCCAGCTTTAAAACCTGATGGCCCCTCTATCTCCCTGCCCAGCACAGGCACAGGCTAGGCACCCCCTAGCCTTTGCTCATGCTGTTCTCCCTGCTGGGAATGCCTTTTCCTTAGTCCCGCCCCCTACCACACACACACACACACACACACACACACACACACTCACACACACACATACACCTTGAGGACTTTCCAGGAAGAACTTACCAAGAACAGCAGGACACCAAACATGCTGGGGGTGGGGGGGTGAGGTCCAGGGACAAGCGTCAGCTTGGTGTTTGGCATCTGATCCCCTCTCTCCACCCACCATCTGGTTCTCAGGTGAGGGGTGGGTGCAAATCTGAGGACATCCAGGATGGCAGCCTTGGGAAGTTTGTTCACCAGTGTACCTCACAGAGCCTGGTACCTGATAGGCACTGAATAGAGACGAGCCAGTGGAAGGATGGGAGTGGAGAGAGGCTGAAGAAGGCTTTCTAGAGTAGGTGATTGTCAGGCAAGGAGCAGGACAGCATCCCAGTCGGCTGGGGAAAGGCCCAGCAGCAGAGAGCATAGTGATGGGATGGGGGTGGCGAGGAGGAGGAATGGGGTAGAGCCAAGGCTCATCCCTGGGGAGTGGGTCCCAGCCTCATCTTTCTCTAGCACATAGCCTCAGGCTCCTACCAGCCTAAACCTCTGGTCCCTAAAATAGAAACCTGACTCTGAAGGAAGAGCGTCATTGAAATGCAATTCCCATAACATGCAATTCGGCCATTTCGTTTCTCAAATTCAATGGTTTTCAGTATATCCACAGTGTTGTACAACCATCACAATAAATTTCAGAACATATTCATCACCCCAAAGAGAAATCCCATACCCGTTAGAAGTCACTCCCTGTTCTTCCCCACCCAGCCCCTGGCAACCACTAATCTACTTTCTGTCTCTGTGAATTTGTCTCTTCTCCACATTTCATATAAGTGGAATCATACATTATGTGGCCTTTAGCAACTGGCTTCTTTCACTCAGCGTAGTGTATTCAAGGATCATTTATGTTGTAGTGTGTGTGTGTCAATGCTTCATTCCTTTTTAGGGCTGAATAGTATTCCACTGTATGGATGGATCACATTCTGTTTATCTATTCATCAGTCAGTGGACACTTCAGTTTTATCCACCTTTTGGTTATTGAGAATCATGCTGCTGTGAATGTTGATTTACAAGTTCTTTTGTGGACATATGTTTCATTTCCCTTGGGTATATACCTAGGAGTGGAATTGCTGGGTAGACAGTAACTACATTTAGCCTTTTATGAAGAGTCCTTTTGAAGGTTAAATCTGGGAATTTCACAGTCTACATCTCCATGCTCCTCACCCCCAGAGCTGCTGCCTTCCCTCCTCCCCAGGATGTCTGAGTGGCTCCTCCACTCTGCCTCTGCCCTGCTTTGCCATCAGAGTCCAGCCCGAGCTCCCCGCTGTGTGATCTAGGGACAGTGAATCCCCCTCTCTGAGCCACAAGGTGAAAAGTCACTTTGGGGCCCCAAAAGAGACCAGGCCATGGGGGCACAGGGTGGGTGGCTGTCCCTGTGCCCTGAGAGGGTGGCTCAACTCCTGCCCTGTCTGGTCGCGCCTCCTGTCAAGAGAAAACAGGTGGCAGCCAGGCGCTTCTGCCCAGCCTGATCTCCCCTGGGGCCCCTCGGCTTTGAGGGCTCCACATGGCCCAATTTCAATTCCCCTTTCACCTTGTCTGGACCCCCAGGCAGGATGGCCAGGCAGAGGTCCCTCCTTAGGCCAGCCATCAGACGAGCAAATAAGTCGGGTTTGATGTGGCAGCCAGGCAGGAACAGGGAGAATGTGGGAGAGGAGATGGGCTGAGCTGCACAGGCTGCTGGTTCACATACACATCATCCCTGGGGGAGATGACAAGGGGGGCCAGAGCAGAGGGGATCAGAAAAGGCAGGTCTAGGAAGGGAGTCCTGAGGAGCAGGGTCATGGTGGGAGGAAGGCCCAGCCTGGCCTCACAAATCCATGACCCAGCTACCCAGCTATGTTTGTGTCTCCTTCACAGACTCTAATTATTTCCCTGTGGGTGATTTTGATCCCCGTCTATCTCCTCCACCTACCCATGAGCTCTGCAAGGGCAGGGATGGGGTCAGTCTTGAGCCCTGCTGTGGCTCCATGCCTAAGCATGGTGAGTGCTTATGAATGTTTGTTGAGTGACCGAGTAACTGACTCTGTGTGTATGTCTGAGAGAGTCTAGGTGTGGACCCCTCTCCCACGCCCCTCTCCGCCTCCTTCCTAGCCTGTCCCCTCCGCAGAGTGGGCACCCCCAGCCTAGGCCCCCACAGCATCGCAGGGTGTGCAAGCAGCTGCCCCACTCTGGAAAATGATTAATAACACCGTGCAGTCCCTCCCTCTGTGGGGGACAGCTGGGGGAGATTTCACACATTCGGGCCTTCCAGAAACTTCCTCCCCTAGAACCACACCCTTACCCCCCAGACCCACCCCCACAGCCTGCTGGGATTCCTCAGCCTGCAAGGGGAGCCGAGGGGAGGGGGCTGCGACCGAGGGCGGGCCCAGCTGTCCTTGATTTGTGTGGGATTTATCCACTTGAGATGCCAGATTTGCCCGAGCACATTGAGGATGCAATTTCCTCCTGGGGAGGGACCCCTAAGAGACGTCTACCCACCTACCCCCGGAGCCCAGTTCAGCCTGGTAGGGAACAAGGGGGCCAGGAGGCCATGGGGAGTGGGGTGGGGGCGGGGGTCGTGCAGCACAGTACAGAGCTGACAGCAAGAACTTTTTAGGCGATGAAGGCTGATTCAATCCCAGCTCTACCCCTCCTAGCAGGTGACCTCGGCAGGTATCCAGCCTCTCTGAGCTTCATTTTCCTACTTTATAAAACAAAGATGACACCAGCCCCCACCTCTTTGGGTGCCTGGCTTCTAAGCTCTTTATGATTAGGAGGTAGTGGACATGTGACAGTGACCCTGGCACAAGAAGGGGTGCCCTGAAGCTGCTCCCACCCTGAAAGACCTAAGTACTTCATAATTCATCCTCCTGGGGGTCCAGGCTGGAGAGGAAAGGCCTCCCTAGTCTCAAGGTGTCCAGCCAGCCTGGCTTGCTGGAACCCAGGGTCTTGTTCCTGGTGACCAGCTAGATGTGGGGACACCATGGGACACAAGGGTTTGCCAGGGCAGACAATATTTCCAGCATCAGGAAGGACATATGAAGGGCCCCTTGGCAAGGAGTGGGGAGGAGCGAGGGCTTCCCCAGCCATCCTGAGTGGTCACACACATGCATGGAGCCTGCCTAGGGCTCCAGGGTTTGCCAGAAGGAGCCAGACCCCTCTCCTGCACAGGGATGGCCCCCAGCTTGCTTCCAGCCACCCTCACTCCTTTCCCTTGGGTCTTCCTGGAGGGCTCAGCACAGACAGAGGGCCGTTTGCCACAGGCCCCTGCTTCTCCAGGAGAGGGCAGGGCTCCGGGTTCTCAGGATGCATAACTGGGCCTGCAAATTGCTTCCCACCCACCAGCCTGGCCCAGCTCAATTTACAACAATCCTTCTTGGCTGGCAGTCCCAGCCCTGCAAAGAGGAGGGCTGGTAACAGCCTTTATACCCAAGGTGAGTCTAAAGGGGGAAGAAAGGAGGGTCAGACAGAAACAGGACTCCCTCTGTCCCCACCCCATCCCCACCTCCTCCAGCTTCACAGCCCCACGCCAGGCCTCTGGGCGTGTGAGCCTCTTGGCATCATGGGGAAGGCTGGGAATAATCTAAGAGGCCCCACATTAAGACACTGGGGCTCTGTGGCCAGGTCTGTCCGCCTGTGCCCTGGTGAGGGTCCCCATGGACTGGAAGCTGACTGTGAGCACATTCTGTCAGAAGCAAGGGACCCGGCGCAGGCTCAAGAACCCCACGCTCTGCAGAGGGCACACGACCATAGGCGTATACACACACACACACACACACACACAGGCAGGAGTGGGGTTCAGAGACCTGCTGCCTGGCCCCAGCCACTGTCCCCCACCCAGTGTGGAGAGCCCCAAATTTGAACCTCCCTGACACAAGTGACCTACTCACAGGTGCACAGCCAGCACAGCCAGTGAACAGTAACCCCACGGAGGGCCACACTCCATCCCCCCGCAATTCCAGGAGAAACACCCCATGCCCACAGTTGGCAAGACAGACATACAGACAGGTATGCAGCCAGTCTTGTTCAGCTGGGGCTCAGGAAGACCCAGAACCCAGAGCCCAGGGCCGAGCATCTTGGGGCAGGTGCCTGGCACTCTGCCCTGCTCCCCGCCAGACCCCTCCCTAAGCGGCAGGCTTCCTGCTCTGACAACAGGACCTTCAAAATTGACTCCCACCCCCTTCTCAGAGAACAATGACTCCATCCTTGTCCCCTATACCGGTCAGCGCTGTCCTTCCTCTGACTCTAGCTTCCCTGTCCTCCCCCAACTTCCAGACACACCCCAGGGGCTCCGGTCTCAGAGATGGGGTACAAAAAACCTCACACTCTTGAGACTACGGGACCAAAAAGCCACTGCAGTCGGAGATGGGAGGGGAGCCCAGGGCCACAGGCAGACTGCATCTCGGGGTGAGGTGGGGCAGAGCCCACAGGGCCCGCCTCGTCTCTGCTCCAGCCTCCGGCAGTGCAGCCACCAAGCCCTCTGCAGCCAAGAGGAGCTTGTAAACGTCCTAGTTGGAGATGAAACATGATAAGACATGAAACCAGGGGCTGAACCATGGATAATCTCCACGGTTTTACAAGGAACAAATCACGCCTAGAGACAGGTGCAGGGGGTGCTGAGGGCCTGGGGTGGAAGGAGCTTATAGACAGGTAACCCTCAGTCCCCTCCCCAGCAGCCTCCCCTCCTGTCTGCTTGGGAGGCCCACCAACTGTCTTCCCTGGGCTTCTTGCCCCTAAGCTCCTTAAGCAGAGCCCTAGTGCCCAGGGCCAGGGGAGAGTGACAGGTGGTCCTGGGGTTCCTGCATCCACCAGGGCACAGATTCACTCATGCAGATGTGTGGTTTGCTCATCCTGAGACTGTGCAGCCCCTGCAGAGGGAGCCAGCAGAAGGCAGTGCAGTTTGATTCACATTCACCTGATTCTACCTCGGGCAGCACCCCTTCAGGGCTTCGTGTTTGGGGTAGGGAACAAGATTACCCCATTCTAGAATGGACTCTGGCTGGCCTAGAGGCCCAGGTGCAGGGGTTTGGGTGCGGGGGCTGTGGGTAATAAAAACAACACAGTTATGATTAAAACAAAACAAAACACTGCTATCATTTGTGGAGTGGGAAATCAAGACAGTGGGGGGGGGGGTTCTGTGGAGCCTCAGCAAGCAGAGCCAGGGGGAACCCCTGAGGGAAGTTACCTGGTCTGATGATTATTTTGCAAAGACCACACCGGTTGGGACAGCTGAGAGCTGTCACTATTGTGGGGGAGAGAAATGGGCAAAGATGCATGGGAAGTGGAACTCCAGGACGTGCTGCCCCCGGGGTAGGCCAGGGTGGCAGCAGGTACAATGAAGGCGTGGAAGGGCCACAGCCAGAGGAGGTTGGGGGCATCAGAGCAGGCGGGTCCCACCCAGCTGCCCTGGAGAAGGGGCTGAGGCTTGGCTGGGGCTGGGAGCGTCCTGTCTCCACCTTCCCCCAGCCCCCAGCTCTGTCCCGCTCCTGCTGACTCCGGAGGGGGCACCCTGGGCCTCGACTGCTCGCCCCGCACTAGTCACCGTCTTGAAGCCCACCAGATGCGGCCCCACCATCACCGGCCGCCGCACCCTCGTACGCCAAGAGGCCTCGGCCTGTGTGCCGGGCACTGGCATGTTGGGCGGGCGCGACCTGGGGGGCCAGGTGATGCCAGCGCCGACCACTGGGTGCCGCAGGGAAGCGCTGCCGGGGCGCGGGGCTGGGCTGGGACAGTGCGGGTCGCGGGCGTCGCGAGGGGCACCGGGTCGGGCTGGGGCCAGGGCGCAGGACGGCGGAGTAGGGGACGCGGAGCCGGGCTGGGGTGCGAGGCCACTGGGGCGCGAGGTGCGGTTAGGGCGCGAGGACCCGGCCTGAGTGGGGGTCACAGGAAGGGGCGCGGCGTGGAGGGAGCTGGGCGCAGGAACCCGCCCAGACCGTCAGAGCTGTCGCCGCAGCGCCCCCGGCGGCACCACGGGGAACTGCAGCACCGCTCAGGCCCCAGCGCTCCTGGGGCCTGAGCGGCCCCTGCTGGTCCGTCCTGCACACGGTCCCTAGGCCCACTCCCAGAGGAGGGGGCCTTGAGGACCGGTTGACTCAGAAGGGGGTCACAGCGCTAGGCCCCCTACCAGGGCCTTGTACGGGGGTGGGGGCACGGTGGATGACTTGGCGGTGACCGCTGACTTCTCCGGGCTGCCACTTCCACTTGCCGGCCCTGCCCACGTGCCCGCATGAGGTTAGGGGGTCCTGGGACCTACCCACAGGACCTGCCCTGAGCAGCACTCCCCCAGGGTCACGGCTTTCCCTGGCAATTGTCACTCAGAAGAAAGGAAAGCCTTGGATGAGCGAAAGTCCCAGTCATTGTCAATTCACTTGTCTGTCCCACGTTTATTGAGCTCCCCTCTGAGCCGGTCCCTGCCTCCAGGCTGGGGATCAGCAGAGTCCCAGACAGATTTCTTCTTTCTCCCACTGGTCCGCTGCCCAAGGTGCCCTGCCCTGCCGTGCTGTGCCTGGGCCTGCTGGCTGCTGTTGGCTGGTGTCGGCAGAGCACTAGGAGCTGTCTGCTCCCAAATGCAACACTTGGCTCCAAAGGTCGTGTCCTAGGGGCTCCACCTGGCAAGGAAGGGGGCACGGGTAGGGAGCAGAGGGGGATGGGCTCTCAAAGAGCCTTTTGTTTCTCAAGAAGCAACTGGGGCTGCAAGCCAGAGGTTATGATGTAACCCAGCAGTGGGGGGAGGGGTGGGTGACATGATTCCACCCAGCCCTTGGCAGACACTGCCCGGGGCCATCCATTTCCAGGCTCACGATGTGAGGGGGCCTCGGGGTCCTGGGGCTCACCCTCCTCACTCCCCTTCTCCAAGGACACTGGTGGCCAGCTCCCACCCCCCCAGTTAACCACCATGTACAAACGAGCGTGGGGCCCCTGGGGTGCAGGCAGCCAGGCACTGCTGCTCACAGCTCCCCTACCAGTCTCACCAGCCCCTGCCGCAGCCCACCTGGGCACCAGCAGATCTTCCATACAACCCTGCTACAGGTCTGAGCCCAGAGAGGCACCCCCAGGGGCATGGCCTGGACACATTGGCCCAGTTTGCAGGAGGAGGCCAGCCTGCTCTTGGGCCGAGTTCACGCTCAGGGAGCCCCCTGGGCCAGTAATGCAGAGCCAGGAGTGCTGGGAGAGGTGAGCAAAGTCCAAGGTCCATCCTGGCCCTGGGGCCCAGAGATTCCTGCTGACCATTCAGCTGGCTTCCTCCCCACCCCTAGCCACCTTCAACATGCTTGCTGACATCAGACTACAGTCAACAGGTGGTCGCGACGTTCCCAGAGCCACCGTTTGTCATTGGGGGTGAAGAAGAGAGGAAACGGACAGGTGTGGACAGAGAGGACCTGAGGCTGAGTGGTCTCAGGCAAGTCCCGCCCCCTCTCTGAGCCTCCTGTTCCTCCCCTGGAGAATGAGTACCTGCCCCACCAGGGTTAGGGTAGAGCTTCAGCACGGTGATGCCCATGAAGACACACTAAGCACTCAATAACTGCTCACCTACAGTGGGCTTGCCCTGGGCCAAAGCTGGCTGCTAGACTTGGCGTGAGCAGGCCACAGGCTGGGCTGGGACAGTGCCCCAGGGCCGGTAATGACCCCAAGTGACTAGGCTCCACTTCATCCGGTGACCAGTTTGGGACACAGAGGGGAGTTTGGTCAGAGATACGAGCTGGAAACACAGGGTTCTGTGCAACCCCAGCTGGATTTTCTGGCAGCTGCAATCAGTGCTGGCCCCCAGCAGGGCAGAGATGGAGAGGCTTTCTAGACAAGGAGGCTGCCGCACTGTGGGGAGGGGATGAGCTGCAGGAAGCCCCTCCTGAATGGGGGTCCTCCACATTGGCCTCCTTGGTGCTTTGTCAGTGCTGACCCCTCCCACCCGCCACATACCTTCCCCTGCTCAGCGGCTCAGGTCTAACTCACAGAGCAACATGCACTCAGAATCCATGCATCAACGCCACCTTCCTGCCCCACCCCCCATGGCTTTCCCGTGCCCTCACCCAACAGGGAGACAGGCTGGGTTCCCCAGACAGGGGAAGGTTATGTGCACCGCCCAAGGTCGAGAAGTAAGCCGGAGGCCCACCAAGGCCCAGCAGGTGAGCCAGCAGCCCCTGCACAGTGACCCTGTGCCAGAGCAGAGACCCCTGACCTGTGGCTGGGGGTCAGGGAAAGGGCAGCACTGGCCTCTCCCTCCTCCCTCCCCAGCCACACCAACCTCATCTGACCACCTCTGCCTTCACACCTGCAGGCTCCACTCTGCCCCATGTGGGATGCTCCCAGCTGCTGAGTAGGTCTGTTCCAATCATGCACTCAGAACTGGAGGAATAACCGCAAAATGGGTTTGGAGACCCACTAGACCCACTGTGAGATGGACCTGAGCTAAAACTCCATTCACCGCCGGGCCTCCATAAGCCCCTACTTGACACAGTTTGTGTGTCCTGGAATTGCTATCAGTCCAGAGCCAGTGTCCAGCAGTCCCCAAAATGTCTGATTACTTCCGTTTCCCCAATGCACAGTGACCCTGGTATAGGTCACTTTGGAGAAGGCTGGGAGAAAGATTAACAATCTAAATTTTTGGTGATATAGCAGGGTCCTTCCTCGAGGGGTCCCACCTCTGGTTCATTCAAGGTGTTCTGGGCATGTAAACTGGCTCAAGCCTGGGAATTGAATGAGGGGTCATGACTGTCTTTATGACTCAAGTTAGACTCTTGCTCACTTGACCTAGAACTCTTCTGCTCATTAAGATCAAGTGAGAATTCAGCAGGCTTCCGATCTATTTCACTTCCAGGAGCACCCCGTCCCACTGGCCGACGCTGTAATTCTGTGGGAATCAGACTATTCTGACGGCCGCTTTGCCTCTGCTGGCCATCACAGTGAGCACCGCTCCCTTGCCTTTCGTCACTGAGCGCCACCACGTGGTCCTGTCACCCCGGGATCCAGTGACCCCCGTGAATTTCAGTCTTCTGATTCAGTGGCAGCAGGTCTTCTGTAATTCCTGGCCTACAGAGAAGAGTGATCACAGAGCGCTTCTACGATGCTGGAGCTCCGCGCACAAACTTTCCTCACAATTGTGGTGAGAGGTGTGCTGTCTGTATCCTCCAAGGTGGGAGAGCAGGTCCTAAATGACAGACCCACTCTAACTTTCCTGTCTCCCTAAGCCTTTGGATCCCTCCCTCCATTGAACCAAGGCAGGTCTGGCATTACAGCTCATTCAGTGTTGGCCACTTTTTAGTCCATGTTTCAGCCAACCAACCAACCAAACCGTTAGAGCCCTTTCTGATCCCACAAGCTATATCATTAAACCCAGAATCTCTGCTTAGTGAGCCCCTATCAATAAATTTGACCTGACCCAACGTTATGTTCCTTCCAACCTTATCCCACCCTTAGTATCCATTCCAACACGTTCCCTGGATTTCTGTCAAGATAAATTGGGGGGAAGCCACCACAATGAGAAGCCTGCACACCGCAACGAAGAGTAGCTCCCTCTCGCCACAACTAGAGAAAGCCCACACGCAGCAATGAAGACTCAATGCAGCCAAAAATAAATTAATTAAATAATTTTTTCAAAAAAGATAAATTGGGAAAATAGTGTAGTTCTCTTGGAGTACACCACACCTCCTCACGGGGCCCATTGTGCACATCCTCCTGCAGGGCCTGGGGCAGGCCAAGTCCGTGGCCTTCTCAGGGCCTCTGCATATACTGTGGGAAGCTCTTCTCCTTGCTTCTGTCACCTTCGCTGCTGACCTGGCATGACCCCTCCTTGGCATACCCCTCCCTGACCACTGGGCCCAAAGCACCAGCCCCCTAATTGCTCCCCCGCCCCCATATTCTAGCGTCTCTCTCTGCTGTAATTATACACAGCCCTTCTCTTCATCTGGCGTGAACTTACTGTCTCAACTATGCCTTAAGACCTTGAGGGCAGGCCCTGAACCAAGATGGCGGAGTAGAAGGACGTGCTCTCACTCCCTCTTGTGAGAACCCCAGAATCACAACTAGCTGCTGGACAATCATCGACAGGAAGACACTGGCACTCACCAGTAAAGACACCCCACATCCAAAGACCAAGGAGAAGCCACAGCGAGACGGCAGGAGGGGCGCAATCACAGTAAAATCAAATCCCATAACTGCTGGGTGGGCGACTCACAGACTGGAGAACACTTATACCACAGAAGTCCACCCACTGGAGTGAAGGTCCTGAGCCCCACATCAGGCTTCCCAACCTGGGGGTCTGGCAACGGGAGGAGGAATGCCTAGAGAATCAGACTTTGAAGGCAAGCGAGATTTCATTGCAGGACTTCGACAGGACTGGGGGAAACAGAGACTCCACTCTTGGAGGGCACACACAAAGTAGTTTGTGCATCGAGACCCAGTGGAAGGAGCAGTGACCCCAGGGGAGACTGAACCAGACCTACCTGCTAGTGTTGGCAGGTCTCCTGCAGAGGCGGGGGTGGCTGTGGCTCACTGTAGGGACAAGGACACTGGGAGCAGAAGTTCTGGGAAGTACTCCTTGGCGTGAGCCCTCCCAGAGTCTGCCATTAGCCCCACCAAAGAGCCCAGGTAGTCTCCAGTGTTGGGTTGCCTCAGGCCAAACAACCAACAGGGAGGGAACCTAGCCCCACCCATCAACAGTCAAGCGGATTAAAGTTTTACTAAGCTCTGCCCACCAGAGCAACAGTCAGCTCTACCCACCACCAGTCCCTCCCATCAGGAAACTTGCACAAGACTCTTAGATAGCCTCATCCACCAGAGGGCAGACAGCAGAAGCAAGAACTACAACCCTGCAGCCTGTGGAACAAAAACCACATTCACAGAAAGACAGACAAGATGAAAAGGCAGAGGGCTATGTACCAGATGAAGGAACAAGATAAAACCCCAGAACAACAACTAAATGAAGTGGAGATAGGCAACCTTCCAGAAAAAGAATTCAGAATAATGATAGTGAAGATGATCCAGGACCTCGGAAAAAGAATGGAGGCAGGGGCTTCCCTGGTGGCGCAGTGGTTGAGAGTCCGCCTGCCGATGCAGGGGACACAGGTTTGTGCCCCGGTCTGGGAAGATCCCACATGCCGCGGAGCGGCTGGACCCGTGAGCCATGGCCGCTGAGCCTGCGCGTCTGGAGCCTGTGCTCCACAACGGGAGAGGCCACAACAGTAAGAGGCCCGCGTACCGCAAAAAAAAAAAAAAAAACCCAAAACAATTAAGAAAGTGGTCATAGGAACATACATATCGATAATTACCTTAAACATGAATGGATTAAATGCTCCAACCACAAGACACAGGCTTGCTGAATGAATACAAAAACAAGACCCAGGGCTTCCCTGGTGGTGCAGTGGTTGAGAGTCCGCCTGCCAATGCAGGGGACATGGGTTCGTGACCCGGTCTGGGAAGATCCCACATGCCGCGGAGCGGCTGGGCCCATGAGCCATGGCCGCTGAGCCTGCGCATCCGGAGCCTGTACTCCACAATGGGAGAGGCCACAACAGTGAGAGGCCCACATACCGCAAAAAAAAAAAACAAAAAACAAGACCCATCTACATGCTGTCTACAAGAGATCCACTTCAGACCTAGGGACACATACAGACTGAAAGTGAGGGGATGGAAAAAGATATTCCATGCAAATGGAAATCAAAAGAAAGCTGGAGTAGCAATACTCATACCAGATAAAATAGACTTTAAAATAAAGAATGTTACAAGAGACAAGGAAGGACACTACATAATGATCAAGGGATCAATCCAATAAGAAGATATAACAATTATAAATATATATGCACCCAACACAGGAGCACCTCAATACATAAGGCAACTGCTAACCGCTATAAAAGAGGAAATCGACAGTAACACAATAATAGTGGGGGACTTTAACACCTCACTTACACCAATGGACAGATCATCCAAAATGAAAATAAATAAGGAAACAGAAGCTTTAAATGACACAACAGACCAGATAGATTTAATTGATATTTATAGGACATTCCATCCAAAAACAGCAGATTACACTTTCTTCTCAAGTGCGTATGGAACATTCTCCAGGATAGATCACATCTTGGGTCACAAATCAAGCCTCAGTAAATTTAAGAAAATTGAAATCATATCAAGCATCTTTTCTGACCACAACACTATGAGATTAGAAATGAATTACAGGGAAAAAAACATAAAAAACACAAACACATGGAGGCTAAACAATACATTACTAAATAACCAAGAGATCACTGAAGAAATCAAAGAGGAAATCAGAAAATACCTAGAGACAAATGACAATGAAAACACGATGATCCAAAACCTATGGGCTGCAGCAAAAGCAGTTCTAAGACGGAAGTTTATAGCTATACAAGCCTACCTCAAGAAACAAGAAAAATCTCTAATAAACAATCTAACCTTACTCCTAAAGGAACTAGAGAAAGAAGAACAAACAAAACCGAAAGTTAGCAGAAGGAAAGAAATCATAAAGATCAGAGCAGAAATAAATGAAATAGAAACAAAGAAAATAATAGCAAAGATCAATAAAACTAAAAGCTGGTTCTTTGAGAAGATAAACAAAATTGATAAACCATTAGCCAGACTCATCAAGAAAAAGAGGGAGAGGACTCAAATCAATAAAATTAGAAATGAAAAAGGAGAAGTTACAACAGACACCGCAGAAATACAAAGCATCCTAAGAGACTACTACAAGCAGCTCTATGCCAAAAAAACGGACAACCTGGAAGAAATGGACAAATTCTTAGAAAAGTATAACCTTCCAAGACTGAACCAGGAAGAAATAGAAAATATGAACAGACCAATCACAAGTAATGAAATTGAAACTGTGATTAAAAATCTTCCAACAAACAAAAGTCCAGGACCAGATGGCTTCACAGGTGAATTCTATCAAACATTTAGAGAAGAGCTAACACCCATCCTTCTCAAACTCTTCCAAAAAATTGCAGAGTAAGGAACACTCCCAAACGCATTCTATGAGGCCACCATCACCCTGATACTAAAACCAGACAAAGATAGTACAAAAAAAGAAAATTACAGACCAATATCATTGATGAATATAGATGCAAAAATCCTCAACAGGGGCTTCCCTGGTGGCGCAGTGGTTGAGAGTCCACCTGCCGATGCAGGGGACACGGGTTCGTGCCCCGGTCCGGGAAGATCCCACATGCCGCGGAGCGGCTGGGCCCGTGAGCCATGGCCGCTGAGCCTGCGCGTCCGGAGCCTGTGCTCCACAACAGGAGAGGCCACAACAGTGAGAGGCCTGCGTACCGGAAAAAAAAAAAAAAATCCTCAACAAAATACTAGCAAACAGAATCCAACAACACATTAAAAGGATCATACACCATGATCGAGTGGGATTTATCCCAGGGATGCAAGGATTCTACAATATACGCAAATCAATCAATGTGATACACCACATTAACAAATTGAAGAATAAAAACCATATGATCATCTCAATAGATGCAAAAAAAGCTTTTGGCAAAATTCAACACCCATTTATGATAAAAACTCTCCAGAAAGTGGGCATAGAGGGAACCTACCTCAACAAAATAAAGGCCATATACGACAAACCCACAGCAAACATCATTCTCAATGGTGAAAAACTGAAAGCATTTCCTCTAAGATCAGGAACAAGACAAGGATGTCCACTCTCACCACTATTATTCAACACAGTTTTGGAAGTCCTAGCCACGGCAATCAGAGAAGAAAAAGAAATAAAAGGAATACAAATTGGAAAAGAAAAAGTAAAACTGTCATTGTTTGCAGATGACATGATACTATACATAGAGAATCCTAAAGATGCCACCAGAAAACTACTAGAGCTAATCAATGAAGTTAGTAAAGTTGCAGGATACAAAATTAATGCACAGAAATCTCTTGCATTCCTATACACTAATGATGAAAAATCTGAAAGAGAAATTAAGGAAACACTCCCATTTACCAATGCAACAAAAAGAATAAAATACCTGGGAATAAACCTACCTAGGGGAGACAAAAGATCTGTATGCAGAAAACTATAAGACACTGATGAAAGAAATTAAAGATGATACAAACAGATGGAGAGATATACCATGTTCTTGGATTGGAAGAATCAATATTGTTAAAATGACTATACTACCCAAAGCAATCTACAGATTCAATGCAATCCCTATCAAATTACCAATGGCATTTTTTACAGAACTAGAACAAAAAATCTTAAAATTTGTATGGAGACACAAAAGACCCCGAATAGCCAAAGCAGTCTTGAGGGAAAAAAACAGACCTGGAGGAATCAGACTCCCTGACTTCAGACTATACTACAAAGGCTACAGTAATCAAGACAATATGCTACTGGCACAAAAACAGAAATATAGATCAATGGAACAGGATAGAAAGCCCAGAGATAAACCCACGTACCTATGGCCAACTAATCTATGACAAAGGAGGCAAAGATATACAATGGAGAAAAGACAGTCTCTTCAGTAAGTGGTGCTGGGAAAACCGGACAGCTACATGTAAAAGAATGAAATTAGAACACTCCCTAACACCATACATAAAAATAAATTCAAAATGGATTCGAGACCTAAATGTAAGACCGGACACTATAAAACTCTTAGAGGAAAACATAGGAAGGACACTCTTTGACATAAATCACACTTTTGATCCACCTCCTAGAGTAATGGAAATAAAAACAAAAATAAACAAATGGGACCTAATGAACCGTCAAAGCTTTTGCACAGCAAAGGAAACCATAAAGAAGACGAAAAGACAACCCTCAGAATTGCAGAAAATATTTGCAAATGAATCAACGGACAAAGGATTAATCTCCAAAATATATAAACAGCTCATGAAGCTCAATATTAAAAAAACAAACAACCCAATCCAAAAATGGGCAGAAGACCTAAATAGACATTTCTCCAAAGAAGACATACAGATGGCCAAGAAGCACATGAAAAGCTGCTCAACATCACTAATTATCAGAGAAATACAAATCAAAACTACAATGAGGTATCACCTCACACCAGTTAGAATGGGCATCATCAGAAAATCTACAAACAACAAATGCTGGTGAGGGTGTGGAGAAAAGGGAACCCTCTTGCACTGTTGGTGGGAATGTAAATTGATACAGCCACTATGGAGAACAGTACAGAGGTTCCTTAAAAAACTAAAAATAGAATTACCATATCATCCAGCAATCCCACTATTGGGCATATACCCAGAGAAAACCGTAATTCAAAAAGACACATGCACCCCAATGTTCATTGTAGCACTATTTACAATAGCCAGGTCATGGAAGCAACCTAAATGCCCATCGACAGATGAATGGATAAAGAAGATGTGGTACATATATACAATGGAATATTACTCAGCCATAAAAAGGAACGAAATTGGGTCATTTGTTGAGACGTAGATGGATCTAGAGACTGTCATACAGAGTGAAGTAAGTCAGAAAGAGAAAAACAAATATCGTATATTAACGCATATATGTGGAACCTAGAAAAATGGTACAGATGAACCAGTTTGCAGAACAGAAACAGAGACACAGGTACAGGGAACAAACGTATGGACACCAAGGGAGGAAAGCGGCAGGGGGTGGTGGTGGTGGCGTGATGAATTGGGTGATTGGGATTGACATGTATACACTGATGTGTATAAAATTGATGACTAATAAGAACCTGCTGTATAAAAAAAAAATTTAATTTAATTTAAAAATTAAAAAAAAAAAAAAAGACCTTAAGGGCATGGCTGCATCCCCAGCACTGAAGCTAGAGCCTGACACTGAGCTCAATAACTATTTGCGGAACAAGTGAAACAGCTGTGCAAAGCCTGACCCTGGGTCCTGGAGTCCCTGATGTTGTTAATAAAGACAGCAAGCCTGGGTTCTGTTTGTTTATTGATCTCTTCCTGATTACTCCAAAGAGGATTCAAGATGGAAGGGGCTTCGCCCACCCTCCCTGATGGCAGGACCCTCAGAGCATGTGCAGTGAGGCACAGTCACTGTGTCCCCGGAAGCGGTGAACTGTAGGCTGTGAGCTCCGGTGTCCCCAGCCTTGCACAGTCAAGGTGATGGAGCAATAGCTGCTTTCCTAAGCCTGAGTGGGGCAAGCAGCATCCACACAGATGGTGCAACAGGGTTCGGGATTTCTCCTTTCATAACCAAGAGGCCAGAGATCTGTCCCCTCAGCCTGCTCCCCCAGCAGGTCACAGATCATCACCACTCTGGCTGCCTGGAAGGGTTTAGTCAGAGAGAATCATAGAGTGACCAGGGCTGGAGAAGCCAACTGGAGCCGCCCCTGTTTGCGTTCTCTCTCCTAGCACAGCCTGCTGGAGACAGGCAAGAGCTTCGGCAAGGGCCAGAGCCCATCTCAGAACTGGGTCTCACCGGGGTGAGTCCAAACAGGCAGGGAGGGGGCAGCGGGCTGAGGAGAGAAGGTAGAGGCTGCACCATCACTCTAAGACGAGCCAGGCCTAGAGCCCCCTCCCTGAGACTCCTGTGAGAGCCGACAGTGGGGCCTCCAGGCACCCCCTGGCAGCCTAGTGTAGCCTTCTCCTTTTCCCAGCCTCTTCCCTTCTCCTAGCCTGTTCGGAGGCAAGGCCTCGGGAACCTTCCTGATGTTTCAGCTACCCCTCTCCCCCCGCTCCCCTGTCCAAATGTCTGAGGTTCCACTTCTAACGTGGGATGTCCAGAGTGTGGCCACAAAGCAGTGTCCATCTGGGTTGGGTGTGGGCTGCCCACCTACTGTCCCTGGGAGGCAGAAGTTTCTTTGCCTGGAAGAAATGAGGGAGGGGAGAGAAAAACAAGTCGCTGCTAACTTAGGTTTCAGACACCGTTCCCTGGCCCAGCCCACTCCCACTGCAGCCTGCAGACCAAGAGAGCTGGGAGGACCCAGACCCGCAGCCTGGGGGTGTCTCTGTGCCCAGTTCTTTCCCTGAGATCTGCAGGAGAACCCAGAGTCTGTCTTTCCTCCACACGTACCGGAGGACAAATAGCTACAAAAGGACAAAAGTATTATCAAACCTTTATCACGCACCGGCCCTCACAGACAGCCTCACTTAACCCCACAGTGAGGGCAGCGAGCAGGTGCTATTAGCAACCCCATTTTACAGAGGATAAAACTGAGACTAGGGACTGGCCGCAGTCTTGCGGGCAGCAAATGAGGAGAGGGATTTGAGCTACAAAGAGTGCGAAGGAGTCCAGAGGGCGGCTGGGGATGCAGACAGAGAGCAATGGGTCAGAGAGGAGGCTGAGCTCAGATAAAACACACACAAATGAAAAACGGCTCCCAAACAGTCTACCAGTGATAAGAATATTGCCAACAGGAGCACATATTTACTGAGCCCGTACTACATTCCAGACCCCAGTGCACTTTCATGCAGCCAGTCTTAACGGGCCTGTAAAGGAGGCTCTGCCATCACGCCCACTACACAGAAGATGAGGAGGCTCAGAGAGGTTGACGAGCAAGCCTGCAGCTGCACAGCCCCAGAACTCAACCTCCGCACCGCCCTGCACACAATCAACCAGATGCAGGAGGCAGGACATCTGCCCTTTGTCCCTGTCCCGCAGCCACCTTCCAGTGGCCCTGGGCAGCGCGCTTTGGTGCCCCCATGCTTTGTCACTGTAAGTGCATGAGAACAGTGTGCCCCTGGGCCTCTAAAGGCCTGTACATAGGTCTGTGCCCAGCTGCCGACAGGCAAGCTCACCTTTAGGGATGAACTTCAGTGAGCTGCTGAATATTCAGAAGCGGGACTGTCCACGCTTGGGGCCATCGTTCAGGAACTCATGGCCCAGCCCATTGCCACACCTGCCACAGGACACCTGGGAAGACCACAAAACAGCCATGAAAACAGCTGCAGCCATGGCCCCTGCTGCCACCAGCACATGGGGTCCTCCCCATGCCTATTTCCCAAGGTAACTGCTGGCATGAGAGTTTGGCCTTGGCCCAGAACCTGCCCCAGAAAACCATCTTGTTTCCTGTTCCCACCAGGACCCCAGGCTCTCCCAATAGTTTGGGGTGTCAGCTCCCCTGGCTGAAGCCAGAGGCCTGTAATAGACAGACCCTAGGCCCCTACAGCTGTAGGGGGAACAGCAGGAAGGGGTGGGGGGCTCTCAGGACCCCCCTGGCTGACACCTCCTCACCACCCCCCAGTTGCTACCACCCACCTTTAAGGCTCCAGGCTGATTGTGCTCTGGATGCTTGGCCACACTGTCAGCATGGATGGTCTCGGTGAAGGCCGGCCATGGGGATGAGTGTGCGTACTTTGAGCGGCTGGAAAACAGCTCATAGCCACATTGGGCACACACGTAGATGCCTGGGGCGGAAGGGGAGGTAAGAGCAGAGATGCTGGCTCCAGCGCCTCGGGGGTGAGCACCTAAATCCTTGAACCCAGGAGAGGACAGCAGCACTCCGGTTACAGGGTGGGCTGCACACTCTCCCCACTCACCCACCCACCACCCATAAGCCTGGCTCTGTGGGGGAGACACAGCATGGAGCTCACATTTAGCAGTTCTGAGCCTGTGCCAGAGGCCAGGAGAGCCACTTTTCACAATTATTTCTTTCACTCTTCTTAACAGCCCTGTAATGCAGATGTTCCCATTTTACAGATGAGGAAGCTGAGGCTCAGGGATGCAAAATGCTCAGCTACAGGGTGTGCAGCCAGGAAGGAACCCAGGCAGTCTGATGAAGACACAGCTCTGCCCCTCACACACAAGCAGGCCCCACACAGTGGGGGCTGTGGCATGGCCAGCACCACCACTAGCCCCCGGCCCTTCCCACATGGACCTCCCTCTGCCCAAAGAAGCCGTAAGGTGGATGCCCAGACACCAGCCTGCTCTCCAAGCAGGAAAAGACTGATCCCAGCAAAAGACCTCCAGTCAGACAGAGGGCCAGGAAGACAGAGCACCAGGGAGAAGGATGAGTTTTAACCTACCTCCAAAAGATCACCCTGAGGGGGGAAAAGAAAGGTTGCAAAACTGACTCACAGAACAGGAAACTGCTTGGGGGTCACTCGAGGGGTACTGAGTCACCCTTCGCTCCCTGCATGGCCTGGAGACAGCCTGCCCTGGAGTCTGTGACCTACTCAGCCTTTACCAGTAACTTGAGAAAGAAAAGAGGAAACAGGAGTTGCTGTGGGAGTGGAGTTTCCAGCTTGGCAGAGTAGCCTGAGGACAACCCAGAGTCCCACAGCCAGAGAGTCTGAAAGGAGGACTTTGCCCAGAGGGTCCTATGTCACAGCTGGCTCACAGAGACCAGGGTGTCACATCCCAGCTCCCTCGAGGGCTGACACCCAACAAATCCCACCCAGGGGTAGGTCACTGCCCTAGTCTTGCCTGTGGACATATTTTTACCAAATTAGTCCATGACCAGGCAGCACAGCCCAGAAGGGGATTCATCTGGGCCTCTCAAAGCCTGGGCCCAGGGCTGACTGCCGGCCATGCCCCCAAACCAACCACTCACCCCCTACCTTCTACCCCTCCTACCTGACCCAGGCTGTCCAGTCAAGCTTCACTGGCCATTGGCAGCCTGGCAACACTCCTGGTTACCCAAACCTGGGGCCCTGGGCAGGTGGGGTAGGCACCCAGGCAGTCACATTTGGATCCCAACAAGACGTGCTTTCCAGCTTACCCCGCAGGTCTGGGGCACCGGGGAGAAGAAAGGGCTGTAGTAATATCAGGAGGATGCCCCAAGGAGAGGCAGGCCAGTCACAGGAGCTGCCCCTGGACAAGACCTTCCACCGCCTCCCCCTAAAGTTCTGATCCTGACCCGGATACCCGCAACGGCGTCACCACCCCCATACCTTGACCCCGCAGATTTCCTCGGAAAAGGCCACGCTCACACTCAAGTTCTGTCCTCCTCGAGGACAGCGACACCCTCTCTCCAATGTCCCTCTCCCCTCAAGTACCCCTACTCTCCGGAACCCCCAACTCCTCCCTCCTCTGTATCCCCTTTACCCACATGCGTTCCTCCCCGCGCGGTCACACTCGGCCCCCGTTCCCGGGACTCCGGGGCTCCATCGCCACCCGGAGGGCTGCGACGCCCCCTCTAATACGCGTCCCCGCCCCCGCTGTCCTCCAGGAGGTCACAGGTCGTACCCGGCTCAAAGTGGTTCTGGAAAACCTCGCCCCCGAAGAAGCTGCAGAACGACATGGCGCCGGCGGGACCGCTGCACGATCGCCGCCTCCAACAGACCCGAGGCCACAGACCTATGACCTGGTGCTTGTGCCCGCCTCCTGCCCCGCCTCCCGAGAACCGATCCCACTCGGATCCCGGACCTGCCCCGGCGCCCTAGGCCACGCCCCCCAAGGGGACCAATCACGTCCAGAGATGCGAGACACCCTCGCAGGGCCCGCCTCCCGTTGACCCGCCCTTTCCACGGACCAATCCCACCCCGGGACTAGGGTTCCGGCTTCCGCCTCCAGGAGGCCCCGCCCCCTACCGAGGACCTGCCCCCTCCGTCTTCCAGCAGGCCCCGCCCACCACTAAGGACCCCTCCTGAGCGGTCCCCGCGGCCCCGCCACTGCCCCCCTGCCCCTAGCTGCAGGGCGGGCCGCTGAGCTGCGCTGGGTTTGGGGTGGCTGTCGCGGTGCACCACACTGAGCCGCGTACGCTCTCGTCGTTTCCCGGCGCTTAAGCCCCGGGCTGCCGGCCGTTGACCAGCCTTTCCGTGCCCCCCAACTCTGAGACACCGCGGGAAGAGTTGTCTCTGGCTTTTATTAGACAAGGGGACAGGCGGGGGTTGCGCCGCACTTTTTTCAGGCTCCCTCCATCCCATCCTGCCTACAAGTCTCCCGAGGTTTCCGGCTTTTCCTTCTCAAGATGCTTCTTCTGGGGACCCTGGTGGGCGAGGGACAGGAGGAGCGTTAGTCACAGGGGTCTAACCAGCCGCCTGGGTTACGCGGAGTCGGCCCTGTGCCCTCTCCCACTTGTTCCTCCCCTACTTCCTTTCTGGCAAGAATCAGTGCCCAGGACTGGACCCCTAAAAGCTCCCTCCTGTGGATGAGTGCAGGGACATGCGTGCCACCCCCATCTGCTCAGCTTCCCCGCTCTGGGGCAGGTAGGATGTGGTGTCGGAGCCCCAGAGAGCAAGGCTGGTGGGCTCACCATGAAGACCCTCTTCTCTTGGGCTGTCTGGAAGCGGCCATGGCCAAACTTGGAGGTGGTGTCAATGAACTTGAGCTCGATGTTCTCCAGGGCCCTGCGGCTGTGGTGCACCAGGAGGGACTGCGGCCGGTGGGAGAGGGGAGCTGTCACCGTGGGAGGTCCCCACTCAGCCCCTCCCATTACCCCCAGTCAGGAAGGTCTTGCTCACCCAGATTCTGTTAGAACCTCTCCCTCTTTGCTTTCCCCATCCCCACCCCTCCTGAAGCAGGCTGGAGGACAGGGTAGGCCAGCCCCCCAACTCCCCCAAGGCCCATGGGGCTCCCACTCCCCAGCTCACCACCTGGCACTGACCTTCCTCAGCGTGATGACCCTCTTCTTGGTGCCCGCAATGCAACCTTTCAGCATGATGAAGTCATTGTTGACTTCCCCATAGTGGGGGAAGCCACCCTGTGGGAAGGTGGGTCCAGGAAAGGGGCTGCTGGGTTAGGAGGCAGCTGGGGGCCCTAGGAGAATTCCCCTGGCCTAGGGTGACATTCTCAATCACTAATCAGGGCAGCATCTGAGCCACACCCCCAGTCCTTCCCGTGATTATCTTATTTAAAAATCTGCATTTTACAGAGGAGGAAACTGAGGCTTAGAGGGGTGAAGTCACTTGCTCCAGGCCCCGCAGCTGCTACCCACTGCAGCTGGGGTTTGAGCCCAGGCAGCCTGACTCCAAGGCCACAGTCGGAGCTGCTGCACTCTGCACCCTGTGACAGCAGCTGGAGGATGAGCTGTCTGCAGTGGTGGCTCTGAGGATGCAGAAACAGCAGGGGTTTGGTCCACCCAGGTGGTCCACCCTGTTGCCTGAGCTCTTGGGAGAGGGCGGCACCCCACAGGCCTGCCCCACACATGCACACCAGGCCCCTCAGCCAAACTGGCGGCCCACCCTCACCAGTGGTGTGATGGATTTGTCGGTCACATCGTAGCTGGTGGATGCGTTGTTCTTAACCACCTTCCCGTCCTCCGTGTGCAGCCCCCGACCAATGCGGTAGATCTGCCAGGAGCACAGGGCACATTGGGGACAGCAGGTAGCCTCTGGGGCTGGCAAGATGCCCACACCCATCAGAATGTGGGCTTAGACCCAGGCGCTGGTGGGGGCATTTCAGAGCCTTAGGGGGCCAGGCAGCATCTGGGTCATGCACCCCACTCACTGGGGTGTGGTCACGGGCATCCCCCCTCAAACCAGGCCTGCGGACACACCTTCTTGTTGAGCTCTGTGCGGTGATGGTAGCCCTTCTGCCCAGCCCGGGCGATGGAGCAGCCCACGCGGGCAGGGTGCCAGGCACCAATGCAGGCCACCTTGCGCAGCCCCTTATGGGTCTTCCTCGGCAGCTTCTTGGTATGCCAGCGGCTCGTGACCCCTGCAGGTGGGAGGGGTGGGGCGGGTGGCTTAGAGGCCAGTTTGGCCCCCACCTCCTCCAGGCAGCCTTCCTGGAGCCGCCATCCCCACCCGGCCCTACCTTTGACGCCCCTGCCCTTGGTGACGGCAATGACATCAATGACCTCACTCTGGCTGAACACACTGTGCACTGGCACCTGCTTCTCCAGCCGGGCCTGGGCCCAGGCCACCTTCTCAGCCACCGTGCCGCCATTCAGCTGGATCTCCATGATGTGGGCCTTCTTCTGCCGGAAGGGCAGCAGCTTCATCTGTAAGACATGGCACGGCCAGTCGGTTCCCAGAAAGTCACACACACCCCCATTTGCCGATACGACATGGCCAGCTGGTGATCCCTGGCAGACTTTCACGCACGCATTCATTCAACAGATGATCCCATGCTCTGGTGTGCCTATATGCCACGTTCTGTGCGAGGCACTGGGGATGCAGCATGGAATGAGGCAGACAGCATCCTGGCCCATCTAGTTGGCGGCAGAAACCAAGTAAACTCTTGGATAGGCCTAAGTGTTGTGATGAAATATTGAGGGTGGAGGGGACAGTTATTGCACATGAGGGTGGTGAAGGAGGGCCTCTCTGAGGAGGTGACATCAATGGCAAGAAGGAACCACTAGGTGAAGATCTGAGAGCTTTTGGGGCAGAGGGAACCGCATATGCAAAGGCCTTGTGGCAGGGAAGATGGGGGGGCAGTGGTTGGTGGGACAGAAACGAGACCAGTGTGTCTGGACTGTGGTGAACAGGGAGGAGGGTTCAGGACGGTGATAGGTGAGCAGGGGCCTGGCCAGGCAGGTCTCATAGGGAGTAGCTTGGGCTTTATTCCAAGTGCAGGGTGTGACATGATCTGTTGCACATTTTTAAACATCTCTGGCTGCTGCTGTGTGAGGTGGAAGCAGGGACACGGTTAGGTCACAGCATAGGGCTCAACCAGTACTGATGGAGGACCTGTTGCATATAAGCCTCCTGGGGGGTGTGGTACAGCAGTGAGCAGGAAGCTGTGACCCCTGCCCCCATGGAGCTCAAGTCTATGGAGGGAGATGGATGTTAACCAATGACACACATAACCAGGAACTACAAGTGGGAGAGTAACTCAGGCAGGTGGGGAGGGTCATTGCTCCGGGCCTGGGAAGGCTTCCCTGAACGTTCCAGAAAAAGCCAGAGGGTATAGGTAACCTGTCAACCCACACGAAGCCAGACCCCACTTACGAATGTTGATTCACACCCACATGTGCCAGACCCCAAACAGAGGCTGCCGGACCCCCACACCCAACACTGGGCAGGTGATCCTGGACCTTTGGGGCATTTCAGGGCCTTGGTTGACTGCTGGGTGTGGCCAGTACCCCGTAGCCCTCAGAGTGCACTGATGCCCAACACCCCATCCCCGGGGCTGCAGGCGGCTGGCTGGTCAGCCGACACTTTGGGCCTATGCCCGAAGCTCACAGTATTTTTAGGCTGACATTTGCCAGGGCTCCGGGAAGCCAGGCTGAGGGAGGTTGGGCCCAGGTGGTGGACTGGTTGACCAGTGTGGACCAGGGGGTAGGGGCTGACCTGGGTGTGGACGATGACCCGGATGACCTTGCAGTACTTTTTCATGGCAGCGAAGTCCCTCTGCAGCTGCTTCTTGCCGTCGGCATCGCGCCACCTCTTGCAGGCCTTGGTGAAGGCTTTTTTCTTGCTCTTGTGCCTGAGTCGTGCACAGAGGGTGCCCAGCCTGCATCCTACCAAGCATGGGCTTAGATGTCCCCCTCCTCCCTCCTCCCCTTCCCAGGGGAGGCATTGCTGGGCACCTGGGGTCCCTGGGCTGGTTCCAGGCGCCCTCCTTAAGCACAGACTGTCTTTCCCTCTCTAGGCCTCAGTTTCCTCCTCCGTAAAGTGGGTACCCTCCCTGCCTCCTGGGGCTGAGAGTGAGCAGATGTGCAGGAGCCCAGGGAAGGGGCGTGCCAGCCAGCCATGGCCACGTGCCCACTTTGCCATGGCTGCTGAACCCACTTCTAAAGCGAACAGTCAGGACTGGCCAGGCCCCACACCCCATCGTTCCTAACCCTTGCCAGGATGCTGGAAGGTGGACATCATTATCCCCATCCTACAGATGAAGAAACCAAGGTTCACAGAGGTCAGATGAGGGGCAAGTTGATCACAGTTGCAGCAGCAAAAACAAGGCCAGCTGGCGTTCGCTGAGCTCTTTCCCTGTGCTGAGCACTTGACACACTCTGCTCAGCTCATCCTCAGGGCTGCCCCAAGATGCGGAGACCTCTCCTGTTCCCATTTGATGGTGTCTGTGGGGAGTGTGTGTGTGTCGGGGGGTGGTGAGGTGAGGTTCTAAAAGGTCAGTCAGCTTGCCTGTGGTCACACAACCTGCTCTGACACTGGGGCCCAAGGTCCTCGCCTCCCATGGAGGGTACACGTGCCTCTGCCTCCATATGGAAGGGGATGTCTGTGAGGTTCCTCAGGCAGGGGCGCCTTCCCTTTCTGGACTTAATGCCAGGGGAGATTTGAGGCCTAAGGATGCCCTTCTTTCTGATGAAAAGAGCTCGTCAGTTGGCTATTTCCCTTTTCACCCTGGCTGCTAGGAAGCTTGGAACCAACTCTGACATTCCATCAAATCAGTTCCTTAGTTCACCCTGAGGATGAGAATGTTTGCTTTCCTTTTTCCTCTAACTAATTTCCTCTCCAGCCCTCTAGTCCTTGTCTTTTATTG